GCATTAAATTCTCCCCGAGGAGAAAGTTACACTGTCACAGTGAAGTTCAAAAAAAAAAAAAAAAAAAAAAAAAAGTGTGGGAGTGTGTAGATGTATATATATTATAAATATGGTTGTACTAGAGAACTGCCTTGGTCAAAAGTAGGCAGAGCTTAAAAAAAAAAAGAAAAAAAGTTAGTCAGAGAAGGAGAAGAGCAGACGAAACGACGGGCGGTGACAAACTTTTTTATGAATTTATCTTTATCGTCGTTTAGCGGACCTACTCATCAGTTAAACCCTCGGTAAGGCAAAGTTAGGCAGAGAAGGAGAAGAGGAGACGAAACGAGGGTTCACCCAATGACACTGAAACGAGGGGGGCTGTAAGCCAATGACACTGAAAGTGATAATCCACCTTAACCCCTTTTGCGGTTAAGTTGCCCGACAACGGATACACTTTTGAGTTGGGCAGGATGTGCATGCGGTTTGGCAAATCCCGTTGGGTGTAACAGCGGACGGATGGCTCGTCTGGTCCTGGGCGGCCGGCAAACAGTTTTTTTTTTTTTTTTTTTTTTTTTTTTTCCTTTTAACATCGTTCGGGGCCCCACTACTGCCTCCAGGGTGGTAAGAGCCCCTGGTGGTAGTAGCCGGCAGGTATTCGATGGCTCCGATCTATTCGTGGGGAGCTGCACCTGCTGGAAACCGGGTCCAGCGTCCCTTGCAAGCAATACTTGTTCCAATGACGGCTTCAGACAACTTTACGTGCCCAACCCTTCCTCCGACATTCCTGAGTGAGACTCCTAATTGCTGGGGCAGTTCTGTCGGTGTTTGAAATTTATGACTCCTCAACCAAGACCTCTTCACCCAAAAGGGCGCCAGCTATAACTTGAAAACTAGCCTATGAGTTGAAGAGACCAGAGACATCAGAATATCACCTAGTAAGATAGTGCTACAGGCTCAAGGAGGTCTTGGACCCATCAGCCAAGGCTCAATGATAATCCTGGAGGCTTTCAGTTTCAGTAATCTGACCTTTCTCCCCCATGTGAGGAAGAACTTAGCTGTTGCTGTTTTCCTGTTCCTTGCTCTAATGGCCCGTCTCCAGTCTGCCCAAATAAGGGATCTAACACTGTCCAGAACCGCGTTCATGATGTACCAGTCCGAGTAGAACTTGTTCTTGAAGACTCTGTCGTTTCGTAATTTCCAAATGACCTGCATAATAGCTGCCCTGCATGCCCCTGCTACGTACACCCATCCCTTCTCTACAGACTCACTGTTGTGTACTAGCCCTTCCACCACGAAACATTCATCCCATTGTATATGATCTTCTACATGTTCTTGCCAGAGATTAGCCCACCATACCCATATCCTCTTTGACTCGACACAACCCCAGCACAGGTGTGTTGCCGTCTCCTTCGTCTTCTTGCATCTTCTACATTTGGTGTCTATTGGCATCCTGTTTGTGGCCAACCAGTGCGCAGTAGGAACCACTCTATGGGATTGCAGCCAGGCCAGACTGCTTAGTTTTGCCGACGGGATATGTCTCAATTGCTGCCATAATTTCCTAAGCTTGATGGAGTTTATCCTGCCTTTCAAAACTGTTCTCTCACCGTGTTCCACCTGCCACTTGTTGCTGACCCCAAGGGGCATTGACCAAGACTTGACCTGAGATTGGTAGCCTACTGTCGGGGTATAGTCTAGTAAGCATATTGTCCTGGTGGGTTCTAACAGAGTCCAACCCCAATGAAGAGGGGGAACATTAAGGCTGTCTGTCCCCTTAGTGCCCACCGGGCAGAAGTACTGGAGAGGTTCGTTGCCTATTTTTTTAGAACAGACAACGATCGATTTTACTTGCTGCAACTTAATCACTTCCTCATTCCCTTCTGACAGCGAACAGACATTTCCTGGGTTTGTGTAGACTGTTGAGTACCTAGTGACCAGTGCTTGGTCTTGGGCTGGAATCCGAGAGATTTTAAGCACCTCCATACAGCCAGACTGATCAGAGTGCCGAACCCAGTTACCTTCGTACGAAGAGGTAGGGTCCCTGAGTACAGCCTTCCATTCCTGTGGTATGCTAGCTATGATAGCTTCTACCCTCGCAGGTACTTGTCTCAAATAACGTAGTATCGTTTTCAGTTCTACTCCTGATCTCCATTGGGCCAGATCTGTGTTCCACAAGTCTGATACTCTGGATACCCCCCGCTGTATCCAGGATTTCCCAAACTGACCGGCCCCGTCTCCAGCTGGCCAGGGGCTCCCTGACCCATCTAGAATTAGGCTATTTTCGAATATGTGTTGGGCTAGGATCTCCTCCCTGGTATGGGGTTCTCGGATCTGTCGAGGTAAAAGCTTCGCCCATGCTAGGAGGATGTCCCTCCAAGCCCCCGATCTGAAAGGCCCCTTAAGCATGGACGGAGTGAGGAGACCCACCCATACGTCTTTTCTCCGCGACAGGTTCCATTCTTTCATGAGAGTACCTACTGCTAACTCTACCCAAGGGTGGGCAGAGACCTCCAGTAGTAATTTAATCACCCACCTGGATAGGAGTGCGTTGACTTGGCATTCCGGGTCTTTAATACCCAGCCCCCCGTCCTCCTTGCCTCCTGTTACTTTTTTCCAGGCTAGCTTTGGTAGGTAGCCCACTTCTTCATTATCGGTTCCTTTCCAGAGGTATCTAGTGGAAAGGGACCGAATTCTTCCATAAGTTCTTATGTCCAAACTCCTGATTGAACCTGGGTACCAGATATAAGAGAAGACTGAGGTGTTCAGAAACAGGGCACGGCCCAATATGGAAGAACCTTTGACTGCAGCTACCTTGTTCAACCTGGCACTTACCGCTCGCTCCAGCATGGTACTTGCTGTCCTCTTGCAGTCCATCATGCTAACCTGCACACCCAAAAAATGCTCACACTCCCCAACAGGTAAGCATTTCAATCCCCAATCCCTTGAAAAGTGCAAACCTGCATTTGCGATAGCAACGGATTTAGGCCAGTTAACTAGAGCTTCAGAAAATTTTGAGTACAAGTCCAGGCATTCCTTGAGTGCATCTAGCGAGTCCTTATTGTTGTCCGACAAAGCGAAGAGGTCGTTTGCCATAGCTAAGGCCTTGCATTGCCTCCCATTGGGCAGTTGCAGACCTTGGATTTCCGGGTTGTTCCTGATCAAGGATAGGAGGACCTCCATTTGGATTACAAAGAGCATGGGAGCTAGCGGGCACCCCTGCCTCAGGGAGCGTGACAACGGGAACGGATCCGAGATTTCCCCATTGACCATGACTTTGCCTACCCCCTTTGTATACAAAGCCTTAACCCAGGTGCAAAAGACCCTTCCAAACTCCGCTCTTTCCAGTGTGTCCAGCACAAATTGCCAGTTGACCCGGTCGTAGGCCTTTTCTAGGTCCAAGAGAAGGGCGACCACCTCAGGTTGGTCCTCCCTCATGGACTCTAGTGCCTCTATTGTTAGCATGATATTGTTCAAAATGTTCCTCCCTTGAACAAACCCCGCCTGTTCTTCCCCAACCAAAGCCGGTAAGTACTTCTTAAGTCTGTTTGCCAGTGTTTTAGCCAAGATCTTATATGAGGTGTTCAGAAGGGAGATGGGCCTCCAGTTTCTGATGTTCCTCTTATCTCCCTTCTTGTATAGCAGTGAAATGATTCCCATTCTCATATCATAACCTAGGTCTAGGCACTCCAGGAGCCCATTGAATATAGTTACCAATGACGGGCCCAGGATATCCCAAAAATGCTCGTAATATTCAATTGGGAGTCCGTCACTACCTGGGCACTTTCCTTTCTTCATGGTTTTCACTGTCTGGGTTAGTTTCTCCAAGGAGATGGGCCGGTCTAAGTCCAATTTTCCTTGCCGCGGCAACCGTGCCTCGAAGGCCTTCCACATGACCTCCTGAAGCGCCTCATCGTTAGGGTCAGGGCATACCGATCTAGTTGAAGTGAGGATGTCCTTGAAGTATAGTCTGGCATTCTCAAGGATGGATTGGGTATCCTTGGCCTTCGGTTGAAAGGCGTCAAATGGATGCTCCAATTGAACTATGACTGAAGAACCCTTTTTCCTAGTTAGTCTCTGAAAATTTTCTTTGGACATTCTGTCCCCCACGTCTATCCACTTTACCTTGGCTCTTTCTGCCCACAGTTTTTCTTTCTCAATTTGTAAGTTCTCAAGTTTGTCTTTCCAAAAATTCCTCTCCACCATCCAGTAATTGGAGAAGTTAGGATCTTCATTGAGGTTACTCTCAGACCACTCTATCCATTGGCAGCATTCCTCCTCTGCCTGACGGCTGGCTTTGGCCTTTTCCCGTGAGGCAAGGCTAAAATCTGCAGCAACCAGTTTGTTAAGTGCTTCTAGCCAGTCCGTCTGCGAATCGTAGAGATTTGTCAGCGACTGCAATTTGCGCATCGTGTTTTTAATTGATAATGTGAGGTTGTCATCTTTCAAGATGTCGGTGTTAAGCCTGTAGAGTCCCCCGCCTCGGTTAATCTTGTTGTCCGATATAAAGGTAGAAAGAACTGGTCTCCATTACCCATTCCGCCGGCTTGCCCCTAACCAGAAGGAAGTCGAGCCTCAGTCTGATGTAAGTTTTGTCAGCTCTGGGGGTATTTGAGACCCATGTAAAGCGTTTTGACAGGGGGTGAAGTAACCTGAATGGGTCTGTAAGATTCAAATTCTCTACCATGTCCCCTAATGCAATAGAGTCGTTCCTGATCGGGTCCGAAACTGAAGAGTCTAATCTGGGGTCCAAAATTGTATTCCAGTCACCACCCATTACTAGGCTTGGGGAATTTGGGATGACATTAGGAAGCACGTCGAAAAACTGCAATTTTTCCCGCCTATCAACTGGGGCATAAATGGAAGCGACTGTCCACTCCGTTCCGTTAATAATGGCAGTGACCCAGTTCCAACGGCCCAGTGAGTCTGCAAATTCCTCTACAATAACGAAATCCAAATCCGTATGTATTAGAATAGCCGTACCACCCTTGGTTCCCTCTGCCGGTGCCCAGAATTGGGGACCCTGCCATTTCCATTTTGCTTCATTTATCTTTTATTCGTTCAACTTAGTCTCCTGGAGCATGATGATTTGGGCCTTATGTTGGTGCACCCATGTTTTCAGCCTAGCCCATTTAAACTTGTCATTAGAATCTGCCAGGCCTCTAACGTTCCAGGAGACTGTTTTGATTTTACTCATTGGTGGCACTGTCCCTCTGTTGTTCGATCAGGGAGAAATCATCTGGTGGGAACATGGAGACTGTCTCGCCCTCCGCTGTTCCTACCATTACAATGAGGGATGACCCCGTGTTGGGTGACAGCCTGTGTGGCTTTGCCGTTTTCCGTTTCCTATCATCCTCTAAGTCTGGCCCATTGCCTTTTCCCTGCCAGGGCGTGGACAACAGGGATTCGAAATGATTGGAGAACAGGTTATGGTCCATCGGAAGTTGTTGATTGTATTCGATTAGTACATCACCGAAGATTCCTTCCGTGGTGTAGACCATTTGCTCATGCAGACGATTTTCGTCTTTGACCCATTCCAGAGGACACCATGTACCTTTGTTAACGGCCACCTGTGTCAGGTCTGATTCACTAGGTCTGACGTCAAACGTAGTGATAAAGAGATGGACTCTATTGTTGTTCTTCCCTAGCCTCTGTATTTTCCTCGTGCCCATGCCGGAGACTGGCCTTACGGGTGCATTCATGCCCAAGTAGTTCCTTACCTTGGCCATCATGACTGTCTGCGTGGGGGAGCTGTCGACTGCACATGGAGTGATCAGTTTGATGTTCGTACCCATGCTGTAGGTAAGAAAGACAATGCCCTCCGCCTTCTTCCTGCAAATCAGAGGGACCAGGTACTTGGATGCCTGCGGTCTCCCAGAGTTGTTGGTTTTCCTCGGCGTTTTCTGTTTGCCGGGTGAAAGGGTTCTTCCCCTTTTCTCTTTGGAGGGGGTGTCTTCGTCAGTTGAATCATCCATCTCACCTATCCCTCTGTTTGGGGGCTCAGTGATGGGACGGGTAACGTCCTTGGCTTGCCCGACCACTTCTGTACTCTGCTCTTTCGCCCTGGTCTCCCCCATGTTGGTGGCCTCCGGTGGGTGGGAGCATTGGATAACAGAAAGTGGAGCTTTCCCTGTGTCTGCAGGTCTGTTTAAGTCGTCACTTCCTTTGGCCGTGTTGGTATTTGGACCAATGTTCGTGTCAGTCCTCGTGATTCCCGATGGTGATTCTGATCAGAGGGCGCGCTGTGACTTCCAGTGCCTGAACTAGTTGCAGAATCTCTAGGAGAGTTACTTACCCTACCCTTCTCCCCAACAATTTCCCTGATTTCTGAATTCCCCTCGGGGGGTTCACCTACCAACTCAGTCGCTGTCGGAGTTTCCCCAGGTCCCTTGGTGCCTATGTTGGCATCTGGAATCCCCGCCAAGATCCCGGCTTTCCTGACTCCTGAGGTCTCTGTATGATCAGTGCAAAGGCCGGTGGCAGATTCACCGTCGATCAGTGTCACCTTGGGGGGGTCCTGTGGCCTACCCTCTGAGTTGGGCTCGCTGTTAATATCCGGTGTAGGGGTAACCCCTGTAGGGCCGGGCCTGTTGTATGTAGGCTCCACCTCCATTTCTGCTGTCCTGGCTGTTTCGTTGGGGATTAATTCCCCGGGCGTTGCCTTGTCTGCGCTTGGCCCAGCGTTGGAATCGGTGTTGTGACCTGCGCTGGGGTTCCTGTGATCTTTTCCCCCATTCCCTGTGACTATTCCTACAGGAGGAGTAAGACTGGAAGTGAGGGGAAGACCTGCCTGAGGTGTGTTGGCAATGCAGTTTTCGTTTCTATGCCCCTGCTCTTGGGATGGCCTGCCAGACGACTTGTAAGCCATCCTTGGCTCATTCCGGTTCCTATCAAGTGGTTTTGAGGGAGCATCGTTACCCTTTACCAAGTTGGACTGAGACTGTTGTCCCCTGAGGTCAAAGTCAGGGCGAACATCCCTGTTACTTTTGGGGAGCCCTCCAAATAGAAACGACACTTGGCAGACAGTTTGCGTTGCCTGTCCCCGTTGAATTTTTATTTTTATTATTATTTTTTTGCCATGCAAATCCTCTTTTTATCGTTCCAATTTTAACATTAACAGATGTCCCTTTGTCCGTTGACTCCGTTCATTTCATTTGGCTCTGCTGGTGCTTTTTTTTTTTTTTTTTTTTTGGGTCAGGGAAAAGCAAGGAATCCATTAGTGTGAGTCCAACGACACTTGGCAGAGCCAATCTGCTGGGGCAGGCGCTGTTGTGTCCCCCTACCACTAAGGGCCTCGCTCCACCACTCACCGCATTTTATTTTTTTTGATTTGTTTTCTGAAGGGCTATTTCTTTTTTCTGAAGTTTGGCAAATTGTTGTGAAATTTTAGTACGGTATTTTTTGAGAGTATCCTGCTGGATACACTCGGAGGCCTTGGGGCCCCTGAATCTAAAATCTCTATTTCAACTCCTGTGTTTTGCCTTGGGCACTGGGCCCTGATAATAAACAGATTGTCAAAAATAAATAAATAAAAAAAATGCTAGTGTATCTTCCCATGATCTAGCGGGATATTTGTTCCATTCTCGCATTTGGTGAGTATTGGAGCGACTCGGAGGCTCTAGGCCCACACCAATGTCCAAATGGTTAAGTTTCTGCCAGTCGTTTCGACGTAGTTTTTTTTTTTTTTTTTTTTTTTTTTTTCAATGTTAACTTCTGCAAGGAACATGAATATGGACGAAGCACAGAAAAACTTGTAGGAGAACGCGATCACAGGGATGTGTAGCAGCCAGCAGGCCGTGCTTAAAACGAGAGAGAGTGAGCAAAGAAAAAACAGAACATAGAGATGGAGATAGAGTGGCGAGAGAAGGAGAAAGAGAAGTAGCACACACAGAAAGCCATATGGAGACGTGTACGCGCAAAAGGTAAATTGGCACCTTAATAAAAAACAGGGACGATCGAAGTGCCAATCTGGCGTAATCCCGGGAGGCAGAGGAGGAGGGGGATGCTGCGCACACGCCAGGGGAGCCGTGGGCGCCAAGGGACCAGGATCAGCCTTTGGATGAGTATCGTGGAGGGCAGCTCCAGCTTCCTCTACAATCTCCATCATCCGTCTGATTAGTCCGAACTGATGGTCTTGTGCTCGTTGTACGTTATCGATCTCCATCAGCAGTAGTCCAGCGTCAAGTCCGGAAACTTGAGGGATACTTGGCTTGGGTTGCTCCACTGTACGGGCCTCACCATGTGCCGGCACCACAGGGGGCGAACCTTCAATCTCCTCTTGAGACCTCTTTCGATTGTCACGGTTGTCTGTAGCGGCTTCCTTGCCTGATCTCCGCTTTGGTTCCCCCACCACTCTTTCGATCTCCTTCCAGATCTTCTTGTTTTCTTCCTCAGTACGCGCCTGGTGCTGCTTGTCCAACTCCTCCATCTTCGTGTTGATCATTCTCGCCATCCTGGCCTCCTCTGCTTGGCGTGCTTCTTCTTCCTCCAGACGTTTTTTCTCTTGTTCCTTACTGATACGGTCTTGCTCTTCCCTTCGTCGCCGATCTTCTTCCTCGCGTCTCCTGTCCTTCTCCTCCCTTTTGTCATTGACAAGTTCTCGGCGCAGGGAGACCACCTCACCTTCATTGTTCCTCTGCCGAGGGGCCCATGGAGCCGTTGAAGGAGGAAGAGGATTGGAACGGTACGGAATAATCGCATTGGTGGGAGAAGATGATGGTGAAGAAGCAGTCTGCAGAGGAGGAGGGGGAGGTGGAGGAGGAGGAGCAGGAGGAGCTTGGGCGATAGGCGGAGCAGAAGGAGCGTAAACAGCTTGCGCATAGCTCTGAGGAGGAGTGTATGAAGAGGAGCTAGCACCAAAGCGACTTACCGGAACCCCCGAAATCAATCCTTCCTGTCGGGGGTACGGACAGTTCCTGGCAAAGTGGCCAGGTTGTCTGCAGTTGTAACAGATACGGTCATAATTAGGATAGTGAGTCAAAGTAGTCAAAGCCAGAGCAGATAGCACAATGGAACCGAGTAACCATCCAATTGAGAATGATACAGAAGAATCGTGAGTCAATGTCCATGCCCAACAGGGCAACACCAACAGCATAACCCAATGTAGCTCTCTCTTATGAATGGCACCAGGCKCCCTATCTACTCTACAGACTAAGCCTACAACTACAGCAATGAAAGCAACCAGACAACTTGACTACCAGCGAGTGATGATGTCAACACCAATGCCGACCWCCACCTCCACCAGGTACSTGTCCTCTTCACCCACACTCTCCCTTGTTACCCACACAGCGCCCTTCACCTCCWRAGAACCACCYTCGCCCTCACCTCCCCTGTGCGCCCTATGCAGCCCGGCTATGGCCGCCAAGCGCCCAGTGCACAGGCAGCGCCCTACCGCCTAGCGCTAGCCTGCCTCATCCCAGCGCAGCGCAGCTCTGCACAGCGCAGCACCTCGCATTAGCGCAGCGTGCCCGCAATGCCTGCATTGGCCAATAATCCCTGCCCACTCACCCTGCTTGCCTATATGCCAGTGCTGCGTGTGGGCGGCCTCCCTTCAGCCTGCGACCGGGCCCCAGTGCCTCCAGGCCCAATGCAGTTGGGGCCCGGGTAATGCAGTTGCACCTCTTTCGTCAAGGCCTGCGGCCAGATTCAGATAGTGGGCCGATTTCCCTTTGGCATTTTCGGCCTCTATACCCAGCGTGCATTGTCGGCCTCACGTTCAGGTGCCCAGGGCCTAACTAACTCAGAGGCCCTGGGTTCTCCACATTTGCAGAGATTCGAGACTCGGTGCACTCCAACCAACTGGCATGCTGCAACTGTATGGACCCCACTTCGGGAAATGTTTGCAAAGAGGGCTCTTGTTGATTTGCTGGCCCACCTTCACTTAGGGCGGGCACTAGGCTTGTTGGGGCCTTAGCCCAGAACATGTACATCATGGCAAGGCCCCTTCTTGAGGGCTCAATCCTCACACTTCGGTCCAGGGGCTATTGGGACTTGGCCCCAGGGAGGCGGCCTGGAAGGGTGATAATAGCATCCCTCCCAATGGGGTTCCTGTGTAGAAGACTCCATCTATTGGTGGGGAGCTGCACCTGCGGGAAACGGGTCCAGCGTCCCATTAACATTTGAGGGGGGGGGAAAAAAAAAAAAAAAAAAAAAAAAAAAAAAAGGCAAATTAAATAAAATAAAAAAACAAAATGTTAAAAAACGCATTTTTTTTGGGAAAAAAACAGAAAAAAAAAACAGAAAAAACAAAAAAAAAAAAGATCCTTATCTCTCTCATCCTGCAACAATTGCGTTTTATTTTTGTTTTTTTTTTTTTTTTTTTTTTTTTTTAATTGTCATTATAGTATTATGGGAACCCTGTAGCAGCCACATCCTCGCTCAAGCCTCGACAGCAACGAGGGAACATGGGGGAGCTGCACCCACCAGCAGGGCCAGCAGATGCGAGTATACTTCCTGCGACAGGAGGCGGGATACCACCGGCCAGCGGTCAGCCAGTGGCATCAGGACCGAGCTTCTTCTTCTCTGGGCCAGTCACTGTGCCTCCCCTCCGGTACCTACCCCCTATGAACATCAGCAGTCTCAGCTCAATGCCACTCGGCGGGACCAAGGGCATATTATCTCTACGTGCCGGGCGCCAAGCATGCCCAGGAAGGTACATGAGGCCAAATTGAATGGGGATTGAAGCCAAGACCTCCAGGACCTGAATGCCACTTGGGCACATTACCAAATGAGCTAGGCCGCTGGATTCCCATCTTCTTTTTTTTTTTTTTTTTTTTTTTTAATACCCCCACTGGTGAGCGCTGGATTCCCATCAACATTTGAGAAACAAGGTCAAGAATCTGCTGAGAATCGGGCCCAGGGAGTCCCGGCGAATGAATCTGCTGAGAAACGGGCTCAGGCTGAGCGTCCCTTTGTGTGATGGAAGATAAAACTTCTGCTGGAAAACGGGCCCAGGGTCCCTTATTTGAACAGAACCGTATTATCGCTCTAAGACTTCTGAAAAATGACAGGATTGAGTACTTGATTAAAGCTAGTTATAATCCTGAATTTAACCCCCCCCCCAAAATTAATATAATAGTGTCATCTGACAACTTCAAGGTCAGTAGGCCTTCAATTCAAATGGCAGTGTCTTTAATCAAGTACTCAATCCTGTCATTTTTCAGAAGCCTTGGGCTGCTGATACTTGATTCCTATTATGTCAACTGAACTCAACTGAACTCATTTTTTTTGAGACGTACCACCACCTATCCTAGACTGAATTCAACTGAACTCATTTTTCTTGAGACGTACGAAGCCTGTTGCTGCGGTGCAGCGGTAGACATGTGATTTTGGGAAAGACCTAACAAGTTGTACTGTTGTAGTACAGATGATTGGCGCCAGTTGGGTTGTTGGCTTCGCGTCGGGAGACATCCAGGACCTGCACTTTACAAAGTGTATTGCCAGGCATTGCACAAGTCTTAAAAAAAAAAAAAAAAAAAAAAAAAAAAAAAAAAAAAAAAAAAAAAAAAAAAAAAAA